GGATTGCTTCCTACTATCAGAAGCTCTACTCTAAGACTAACGGTTGGAGACCCCGGCTTGGTGGCCTTCACTTTGACTCAATTTCGGTGATGGAATTCCTTTTTTTGAGGAGGAAGTGTTGAAGGCATTGAAGAGCTATAATGGTGACAAAGCTCCGGTCAGGATGGATTTACCATGAGATTTTTGTTAGAGAGCTAGGATGTGGTTAGGAGTGAGGTGATGAGCACTTTTGATGAGTTCCATTCTCATGGGCGGTTTGAGAAAACGCTGAATGCATCTTTCACTTACCTCATTCCTGAGAAGGGTGGAGCTTCTGATGTCCAGTACTTTAGATCAAAAAGTCTTGTGGGGTGCATTTATAAGCTTATTTCTAAAGTCCTTACTCTGGGATTGAGGGAAGTTTCGGATGGTGTCATTTCAAAGTCCCTGAACGTTTTAGTTGGTGGCCGGCACATTCTGGATTCCACTCTTATTGCGAGCGAGTGTGTGGATTCCAGGCTAAGTAATGGTAGCTTCTTGCTGGATCTGCAATTCTAGGGGCTTAAGATAGGGGATCCTCTATCTTCATCTTTGTTCATCATTGTTATGGAGGCCCTTAGTAAGTTGTTGAAAAGGGCAATGGATTTGGGATTTATCAGGGGTTTCAGGGTGGGTAGAGATTCGGTTCATCATGTGTAGATCTCCCATTTACTGTTTGCGGATGATACCTTGGTTTTTAGTGATGCTGATGTGTCCTGGTTGAGATAGGTGTGTTCTGCTTTGCTTTTAGGCAGTATCCAGTCTAAAAGTTAATGTGGGAAAGAGCGCGCTTGTCCTTGTGGGAGAGGTTCAGTATATTGCTTCTCTTGCTGCAGTTCTCAGGTGTTGGGTGAGCTTACTTCCTATCTCTTATTTGGGCCTGCCTTTGGGTACTCTGTCGAGGAGGGTGGGAGGTTGGGATCTTATGATTGAGCAGTTTGAGAAAAGGCTGGTTGGGTGAAAGATGCAGTATTTTTCGAAGGGCCGGAAGGTTACTCTCATGAAGAGTACGTTGTCGAGTCCCCCTGCATACTTCCTCTCTCTTTCACATTCCTTCCTTTGTAGCTAGAAGATTGAAAGACTTCAACAAAACTTCCTTTAGGGTGGTCGAGGGGAGGAGTTCAAGTATCATCTTTTCCGCTGGAAGCAAGTGTGCAAGCCTATTCAATTGGGTGGTCTAGGCATTAGGAGGCTGGTCCCTTTCAACAGGGCTCTCCTTGGTAAGTGGTTGTGGAGAATCAGAAGCGAACGTCATCGACTTTGGAGGAGGGTTATTTCGTGCCGTTTTGGGGAAGAGAGGGGGGGGTTGTCCTCTAACCACTGGAGTCTGGAGGTGTAGGTGTTCGGAAATTCATTCGGAAAGGATGGGATAAATTTTCTAAACACATCAGATTCAGAGCACGGGATGGCAGGGGCGTTTGGTTCTGAAAGGATTTATGGTGTGGCGATCGCCCGTTGGCTTGTTCTTTTCCCAGACTTTTCAGGATTACCATTGATAAACATGCCCTGGTTGCCAACAATTCTAGGCTTGATAGCGGTAGGCTCACGTGGGATGTGCGATTTCGGCGTTACTTCCAAGATTGGGGGTTGGACAATGTTTTTGATGTACTGGATCTTTTGTATAGACAGGAAGTGGATGGTAGAGGCTCTCACTTTTATTTTGGGTGCCCTCTCCTAAGGAGGTTCAAGGTCCGTGTTTTGTTCCTTGTCTTCAATGGTTCTGATTTCCCTCATAGTGGCCTTCTTTGTTTGGACTGTAGTTTGGGGTAAGATTTTGACCATGGATAATCTAAGAAAGAGAAGACAGATTATTGTCAATTGGTGCTGATTGTGTAAGAGGGGATGGTGAGTGTGTGGAAAAGCTTCTTTTGCATTGCCCCGTGGCTCACAACAGGTGATGCCTTATTTTTGGTTTGTTCTGTGTCCAATGGGTTATGCCTCGGATTTCGAGGGATTTGATTAACGCTTGGAAAGGCTGCAGCGTGGGGGCCCACGCCCATGATTTTTGGAGGGCAGTTCCCCTTTGTGTTTGGTGCGTATATGGAAGGAGCGGAATAGAAGATCTTTTGATGGGGCGGAATCTTCCATTCGGGCTTTGAAATTTCTTATTATTAGTTCTTTTTAGTTGGGTGATAGGGAGAAATTGTAAATCTATAGAGGAGATTGTAGATTTTTTGGGTTCTTTAGGTCCGTAGGACCTTTCTCTAACTTTGGCCCTTGTATAGCCTTTCAAATGCGTTCCCCTTTTGAATGCCTTCTAATATATTCTAACTTATAAAAAAAAAAGGCAAATGAACCCTTATGCGTGTGTGTGTGTGTGTGTTTAGTGAGGGAAATTACATAATTTTTTTTTATAAGTGAGATCTTAAATAATTTGTGGTACTAGAACCTTGAAAAAAATCACTCCTCAATGATGAAATTATATACTTCAAATTTTTTTTTTTTTTATAAGTAAAAATAAATTAAAAAAGCGTTCAAAAGGGGAACGAGTCCCTAGAACAATAATCGGGGACTAAGGCCCCAACGAATCCAGAAAAGAAATTAAAGCATCAGAAGAAGAGCAAGAACTCCTCTTCACATAACTAAAGAGAGAGCAAATAATAATAAGTTTTAGTGTCGCCGTAGACTACTCTTTCCCTTCAAACATTCTACTGTTTCTCTCCTTCCAGATGCTCCACCATACGCAATGTGGGACATTTCGCCAAAAATCGCGCACACCTCTGCTCATGCGACATCCTTTCCAGGCATAAATCAAATCCTTAGTAGAACGTGGCATTACCCAACACATGCCAAACAATCCAAGAATAAGATTCCAACAATCGTACGCCACAGGGTAATGCATAAGAAGATGATTAACAGATTCCCCATCTTGCTTACAAAGGCAACACCAATTAACAATACAATTTCCCCTCTTCCTCAAATTATCAATCGTCAGAATCTGACCCTACACAGCTGTCCACACAAAGAATGCCACCCTAGTAGGTGCCGAAGAGCGCCATATAGTTTTCCACGGGAAGACAAAGCTAACAAATTAAACAGGCATAAGAACAAAGATCTTACTTCAAAACAACCGTGAGAAGAGGGAATCCATATCAAATTGTCATGCCCCCTACCAATTCCTTCCTGCCGATACAATTGGTCCAGAAAAATACTCACCTCGTTCAACTCCCAGTCCTAAAATAACCGCCGAAAGTGCACATTCCACGTAATTCCACTATTATCAAGCCGATAACAATCAATCACGTAAGCATGTTTGTCAACTGCAATATTTTATAATCTGGGAAATGTGCGAGATAATAGTTGATCCCCACACCAAATATCCAAGAAGTCTCAAACACACGTTCAAGTAAAGCACATTATTTTCCAATAAGCCACTGCATATTTCAATTTAAAGTACTTGATTATGGATATCATGTTAGAACGGTATATCTAAATGGGATTAAGAGCTCATAAGTTAACCACATTTCTATGCTCTTGCTCTCACAACCCCCAAAGACGTGCAAAAACATACTCATCGACTTCTTCTATCAAGACATTCTTCGATTTGGTTTATCAATAGACACAATAAAATTACTTTTTAAAACAAGGAAAGATGCATCTATAGAAATGCTTTAATCATCCTTGTAGATAAATAACCAATAAGTTCAACCTGGGTCAAGGGCACAAGCCATTATATCAGCATTATTTTGTACATTGTACAGTTTTTTTTTTTTTTCCTACGAGTGTCATTGAACAAATGTTTATGATGAATATCAGGTTGCTAAAACAGAAATAAATAAAAGTGAAATGAAACATAGAATGGAAATATAAAGTCAGACAACTGACTAGACAAATATTCCAACTATATACACCTATAATTGTATTCTAATATCTTTATCCATTCACGAGTTCAAGTCTCAACAGTTTGTGGCAGGGTAAAACTTCAGGTAAGTACTTCCTGATCCTTTGGGGGGGAAAAGGTTGATCAATCAGCATTCAGCCCCCATCATTGATAATCTTAGGAGGAGGAGGCATGTTGTGGTTAACAGGTGTTACATGTGTAAGAAGACGGGGGAATCTGTCAACCATCTTCTTATTCATTGCTCAGTGGCAAGGGATGTTTGGTTTTTTGTTTTCGGTTGCGTTTGGTAATCCATGGGTGCTCTCAGAATCTACGGTCAACTTGCATGAGACTTGGAGAGGGTGTACAGTGGAGAGATGAGTCAGAGATGCTTGGAGGGCTACTCCCCTGTGTATATGGTGGGGCTTGTGGCGAGAGAGAAATAGGAGATACTTTGAGGGTGGGGAGTCTCCTATTTGGGCTATTAAGTATAGTATACTTTCTTCTTTATTCTTTTGGGTAAATGGGCGGGATTGTATGTCGTTGTCTTTTGGATTTTGTTGATAGCTTAAAGCTATGGTGTCGCCATGGTTGGCAGTTGTTTTTTTGGGTTCGCTCCCCCTTTGAGTGTTTTAATGAAATCTTTCTTATCTATCAAAAAAAAAAAAAAAAATCATTACGCTTTCTAAGAAAGTTTACCTTTTAAAATCAATTCAACAGATGGATACACAAAATTCAAATGAATTTGCAACTTCAAAAAAAATACAAATTGTCAAATACTAAATTTTTAATTTTTAGCTGCATTAACACATTTATGAAAGTAGCGACAGTGATAAAAATGGATAAATTGTCAAGGCATGTACTTGATGACAAGAGAGAGAACACAGATGTCCAAGCTCATCAATTTAAAGACTGGAGAATGATGATGAACTTCAGCAAGCGAATGACAAAACACAAATGACCCTCCTTCCTCTAAGAAGCAATAACATATAAAAAAGAAATGTAAGGTTACATGAGAGCTAAAGAAATCCTTAATAGCAGAGCCTCATTCTATATAGCAAGAGAAACAATATCACTACAGAATGTCAACATGTACAACTCCACCTCAAAATAAATACTAACATCATAGGTTTAAGCAAAATGGTACTGTCAACACAAATACCTGTCCCTTCTTGGTGGTAAGTTGCCGAAGTATTGTTTCAGGCCTTGTCTTCCCTACAGTTGGCTCACCACTGAGATATCAGCGAAGCAATTTATATTAGGCAAAATGTTCTGCTAATGTTACTGGTGTTCACAATTAATTAAAATATATAATATAACCTCACAATCAATTAAGAACTTATAAAACAAAAGGCAAGTTCTTACGTCTTCCTATCAAGGGAACGGATAGAGATATTGTTCACCTCAGCTTCTGCAACTTGTAACCTAATGATACCCCCAGATAGAATCTCGATATCTGAAACCTGTGATAGTGATACCCACCATTAACATAACTAAATTGTGGGCACAAAACAAGTTCAATTATTGTACTTCGCATCGAAGCAAAAAAAATCTAGAGCACAAAAATATAAGGTATTATATATAAAGCACTAACCAAGCCAAAAAGACCCCGTTCCATGTACCAATCATTAATGGAGTTTATTACTTCATCCAGGCGCCTGATGTTTACCACTTTTCCTGCATAACTTGACACCAAAATCGACAATATGGAAATCTACTAATTCAATATATATATATATATATATACAAATGATATAACACACACACATTTTAGGGATTGGTGACTTACCCATTCAGTGACTTTGGCACTGGACGATCCCAAAATGGGTAATTATTGAGTCGGGTGAATTCAATAACAGGCTTGCATGTGCATTTGGGAAAAATAAAAGAAAAAAGAAAAGAAACGTACCATATCCACCACGAAAAGCATCCTCTACAAACTTCACAGGAAGAACATTAGCTCCTTCACATACCAACCCTTGGAACTCTTGATTTGGCTCTACCTTATGGCAAAAGATACTAAAATAAATCATTGTCATTCCAAACCAAAGAAAATATGATTCTATGGATGTTCAAGGCATGTCGATTAAATTGAATGTCCTACCAAGTATAAAAACAAGTAGACTAAATCGATGTCATGTCTCCTAATATAGGATACTAAAAGAGTTCAGCAAAATTATAAAGGCACAGATGCAATCCACAGTACCTTAAAACCAAGACTTCATGATTGGAACATAATGGCAAAGCAATTAAAACCAGGACATAAAACCACCTGAACAATCAAGCATTACCAGATGCTTACCATATGACTACAATTGCGCAAATTTCCCCAACAAAGTAGAATAAGTATTTCTATTGAACATGAAGATGAAGTGAAACCAGAGCCAGCAAGCTTCATTGACAACTGTTGTACAGCATTGTATCAGTTGTCACACGTGCACAGTTAGTATTGTATGAGTTGTCACACGTGTACAATTAGTATTGTATGAATTGTCACCTATCCCTCATTACCATATATAAAATTACTATGTATAGGGTTTACTTATTCTCCACGCACCTACTCCCGTAACTTCTCCTATATAGAAACCATTGTATGATTGTATTACTCACTCAATAACAGATATGTTTTCATATATTCTCTCTCTCTGTCTTTCAACATGGTATCAAAAGGGAAATCTATCTCGGCTCCCGCTCGCCACTATATCTCATTTGTTCGGCAACTATTGTGATGGATACTAAGGAATCCCATCTTCTTGGGTCAATCACCAGCACCAAACTGAAAGGCTCGAACTATCTTCAATGGTCTCGAGCCGTAGAGGTGTTCTTACGGGCTCGAGGAAAACTGTTCTATCTTAAATCAACCAAACCCACTAGTGATGAAAAGATTATTGAGGCTTGGGAAAAAAGAAGATGTTCAGATTATGACTTGGTTATGGAACAGCTTGGAGCATGAGATCTTCAACAACGTGTCATTCCTCTAATCTGCCAAAGATATCTAGGAAAATCTTAGGGACATGTATTCTTCAAAGAAGAACATTTCTCGTATTTATCAGTTGTATCAGGATATTTTTAATCTCCAGCAAGGAGATCGTTCTATGAAGATTATTACTCAGAACTAAAGGGCGTGTGGGAAGAATTGAATGTCTACCAACCATTGACTTTTTTTTCTTTTTTGATAAATAAATAATTCATTAAAAAAAAACGTTCAAAAGGGGAACGCATCCCTAACAAAACACAAAAACTTGGGTACCCTAAGGCCCCAAGGAATGTCTACCAACCATTGACTGCAGACATAGAACAACAAAAACGGCACAAGGAGGAGTTTCGGGTGGCAAAATTTTTATCTGGACTTAAAACCCAAACTCGCTCCAATCAGTTCACATATTTTGTCTGGCAAGGAGATACCCACAGCAAATTACTTAAATGCATGCCAATTGTTCATTGACCAATGGTTGACTTTTCTCTCAACCTTTCTCTTTTTTGACGCCGGGGTCTTCTACTCTGGGGTCTGTCGTTCTCTTTTTTCTTTTTCTGGTGTTGGATTTTTGGTTTCTGCAGGCCATGCAACGTTCGTATCTCAAAGTAGCGACCCTACCATGTCTTAATCTCCATGGGAATATCAAAAGTTGTTCAATTGATAGAGATGTAGTTCTTAGGGTTGATCATCAGAGTATTACAGAACGTGAATCCGTCTTGAAATCTTGCTTGGTTAGTCGTTTTGATCGTGATGTGGGGTGTACTAAAAGGATTGAGGAGTGGCGACGAAATCATGGTAGATTTTGTGTGGAGTAAAAATTTCAACCCTACCTAACGGCCTTTTCTTGTTCCGTCTACCATCGGAGGTCGAAGCACGCAGGGTCTTGGATGGAGGGAGGAAGAGATGGGGTGAAGCTTCCTTATACATTGACAAGTGGGACTTTGCGGTGGGTTGCTCAGCCATGGTTGATCGTGCTAGGTTACGAATAGGGATGGCAATGGGGGCGGGTTTGGGCGGGTGTACACTACCCCACCCCCACAAGCGTTTAAAAACCCCACCCCCGTCCCGGCCCAAAACCGCAAAAACAGGGGAACTTTCCACCCCATCCCCGTAACCGTTTAACATTTTTACCCCCGCAGGTACCCGCCCCGCCCCATTTAAGACCAAAATTTATTTATTGTTGAAATAGATTTGCTTTTTTTTTTCTTTTTTTTCCCCTCATCTTCAATTCTTCACCATTGCAAATTTCCTTTTAATCAAATTCATTTGTTACTTTAATATTGTTATATAGGGTACTTAATATATAGTGAGAAATATATATACTAATGAAATAAGGGTACTTAAGTAATTTGCCTACCTAAACAGGGCGGGGCGACCTCCCCCCGCCCCGCACCAAACCCGTGCGGGTTTTTATTACATCAAACCATCCCCGCCCAAATAAGCAAAACGGTCCCCCAAAACCACCAAAAATGGTGCGGGGTGGGACGGGTAACCGCGGGGGCTGGTCAAATTGCCATCCCTAGTTACGAAGGGTGGTGTTGTTCGGGTTGCCCATTCATCTCTGGTGCCACAAATTGTTCGAAGCCATTGGAGAGGGTTTAGAGGTGTGGTAGCGGATGATCAAGCGAGTGGCGAGCGAGTTCTCCTTTATGTCTCCGCCAGAGCTGTGGTGCCGGATTATGTTTTTGTAGAAGACCAACGAGTGGCCTTTAAGATCAATTTGATTGAGGAAACCTCACCTTGCATCCTTCCAAAATCCTATTATGGGGTTGGTGAGGCTTCCCCCCTTACGTCTGATGGAGAGTTCAACGGTGGACGTCAACGGCATTTGCAGACTCAACTGAGTTCTCAAGGAAAGAGAAGAGCGTTTGCCAACGCGCCGGTTGCGAGTGGGGAAGGCAGATCTCCGAGGCGTGCGCATAACACCCATCATCAACGCCATTCAAATCCTTGTTTTGATCGCCTTGAAGGTAATCAACCACGTGGACAAATACGTGGCTTCACAAGAGCCTTTCATGCAGCGGACTCAGATGGGCGTAAGTATGGGCTTGTATCTTCTAGGCTGAACAGTGGGCCGTTTGTCAGTCATGGACCACAAGTTACAAATAAAAGGAATGTTATGTGGGGGGCCAGCAATAAGTTATCCATTTCCTTCCTCAATGACAAGCCCAGCCCACAGTTGTCTAAGCCCAGCCGAGGCAATGCTATGTTACGTAATGGGCCATTACATGACTTAAAAAGAAAGGTTCACTGGGCCCAAAAAAACAGATGTCAATTTCTTTTATTAACACAAAGCCCAGTCCAGCTACTGAACCCATTATCAATCATCTACAAAGTCGTCCTCATCATGCTATCTCTGCGAATTTCTGGAACTCACCGGGGAAGAGGAGATGGATGAAATTTAGTGCCGATGAGGCTGGTGTGAGAACAGACAAGAAGGCCTTTCGTCATCTACAGTGTTGCGCTGATGCTTCAATTAAGTCCCTACCAGCTACTACTCGGATAATGGGAAGCAGCTTTAGACTCTCATCTCGGGATTTTCACAGAAACAGCCATGTTTATAGATGGTCGAGGAAAGATAAACAGAAATGGACCTCCACTGACCCAGGTATGTCCTCTGTTATTCATCCTCAGAGCTCCCTTACAACACCACCTTCTTCTTCCTCTCTTTCTTGTGGAGCGGTGAGGGGCGATGTTGAGATGTCAATGGAGAAGAGTAGAGTTTTGTCTGTTGTGCCTTCGGCACCTGCAGACGAGTATGGGTTGGCTACAGATAGGAAGACTGCCAGCGGAATTGTCACTTCGGGGCAAGCTGATTCACTTAATTGTGCAGTTTAGGACGCATCAGACAGGGTTTGGTCCGCGTGGGGAGAGACCTTCACTTTCAGCTGTCTAATGAGTCAGCTATGGCTTTGCTCAAAGAACTCCGCCTTTATGTAGCCTTAAAAGGCTTTAATTGCATGCCGTCTGTAGGGGTTGAGGAGAATAAATTGTTCAGTTTATTGAGTAGTGGAATGGGAGACTACAATACAGATTCTAACTCATTTACAGAGTCATTTGATTTTGGCTGAGATTGTGATGAAGAGGTGGCTACTGATCTGGTTTCCAACCAACAAGTCTGCTCCAATGAGTTTGTCCCTTGGCTGGAGAATGATTTTTCTGAAGTGATAGAGGAGGAACCATTGGCAATTGAGAGACCTGGTTGTTCAGACACAAATGTTAACTTGGGTAAGGACTGGATGGTTGAAAATATAGGAGCTGCTAATGAGTTGTTGGGTGTTTCTTCAGAGGGGAACAGTGACTTGACACTATCCATTCTTCAAGATATAGTGGAACGAAGAGAGGTAGCTGTGACTGAAGAGGTAGTGAACACGAGGCCAATATCATCCTGAAAAGAGGCACAAGAGATCAAGAATCTTATCTCTAAAGTTAATTATGAAGGGAAGAAAAGGGTGGTGAGGGAGAGGGGAAGGACTAGGAGTCAGAGTTCGACGATGGGAGGAGGGGAGATCATCTTATCTGGTTTTTAATGAAACTACGAATTATTACTTGGAATGTTCATGGTCTTAACGATCCGAATAAAAGGAGGGTGGTAAAGGTAGCTTTAAGGAAGTGGGGGGCCCAAGTTGTTTGTTTGCAAGAAACAAAATTGGCATCCATTACTGATGGGGTGGTTAGGAGTTTGTGGAGAGGAAGGTTTGTGGAATTGGAGGTCTTGAATGCTACAGGTACTTCGGGTGGTATCTTAGTTATGTGGGATTGTGGATGGTTGTCTCGGTTGGATGTATGGGTGGGGAGATTCTCAGTATCTTGCAAGTTCAAATTGGAAGAGGCAAATTTCAGATGGGTTTTCACTGGGGTCTATGGACCAGTTGTCGATATTGATTGGCCTTTTTTTCTGGGAGGAGCTAAACCATGCTCAAGAAATGTGGTCTCTTCCTTGGTGTTTGGGTGGAGATTTCAATTTTGTTAGATTCCCATTAGAGAGGTCCACAGGAGGAAGGAGGTCTTCTGAAATGGATCAAT